ATTCCACCACCAATAAGAATCGCATACGTTTGTTGTGTGGGCCATGATGAATAATTGAAAATGGGTGCACCAACTGAACAAGAACAAGTTTTTCCAGCGCTGATCGCGTGAAAATGACCTGAGCGATGTAGCCTTGGCAAGCTTGGCGTGCTCCTTAGCATCCGGATTCATCACAGAGCGGACCCATCAATAAAAAGAAAACAACGTTTATGGCCTTTTATAGTTAATTAATTAACATTAACAAAGCCATTCTACCAATACTCACATAATGTTATTTTTTTAATTTAATCTTACAACAACTTTTTTTTTTAATTTATATTTTAATATTAAATTATTTTGAGAATTGTATTTTATAAGTTTTTTTTGGTTTTTTTTAGTTGGGTTATATACTTAGTCTTGTAAAAAAATTTTATTTTACTTTCAATGCTAGATTTATTTGGAGTGGGACTTTATACCTTTTATTATTTTTATTGACCTAATTCAATCTCATCATTTAAATTATGAGTTTAAAAAATTGATTTATGTTATTTTTTTATATTTTTTAATTTTATTTTTTAATTTTATGTTACTTGGAAATTAACTTCTTAATTTCTTTCAATAAACTTTTTATGATATTATTTTGACTTCATGATCTAAGTTGCATGTTTGACAGGTCGACTCTGTTTATTTTTTAGGGTCCTTTTTTAACTTGAATTTTTTTTTAATTGAGCTTTATTTTTTTTTTAACGAAGTTATTTTCATTTCATAAACCAGTACATAGGTTCAACTGGTTAACCTGAGTTGATTTAATTTATTTTTTTTATTTTTTTATTTAATATATATTTTTCAATTTCATCCTCCAGTAACTCAATCTTCTTCATTTCTATTTAGATTTTTTCTGTAATTTTATTTCTTAATATTAAATTATTTTGAAATTAAATTTTGATTTTTTTTCAACTTACTTTTATAGAGATATCCTTGTTTCATTTTTTTTTAATCTTAACTTCAACTTTCAACATTAAATTTAATAGAAATAGAGTTTTATGATTTGTTTTACTTGATTTTTATGAAATTATCATAGTCTTACATTACAGGTTTAACATGTTTATCTTGATAAGCTATTTTTTTAATAGATTTGCTTTTCGTATAATATTAGGTTGGTTGAAAATCGAGTTTTCTAGTTTTTTTTTTTAATTTTCTATGAGATTATCATAGTCTCATAATATAAGTTGTAAGTTTGATATGTTAACTCGAATTTTTTTTCTCATTTTAAATTTAGTGTATATATATATGTGTGTGTGTGTGTGTGTTTATGTATGTATATTATTTTCTTAATTGTTTTCCTTCAATAGTAAGCTGATTAGGAATTAGTTTTCATAATTTATTTTTATTTATTTTCTATATAGTTATCATGGTCTCGTAATTCAGGTCGTAAATTTAACATGTTACTCCGGGTCGATCTAATATGTTATAATCTCAATATTTTTTTTAAAAAATATCATTAAATAAATCATCGTATTAATATTTTTTAAAAAATATCATCTAAAAAGCACCATGTTTTTAGTTAATAATTATTTTTAATTAGAAACACATGCTAACAAAGCTTAGATATTTTTATTTTATGTCAATAAAAAATTGATCCAACTAAATAGCACAGTAGAAGTCAATAATCTAATTAACAAAAAAAAACAAAGGTTATGAATAATATATTATACTCACGAAACACTATTTTTCGGTTAGTCCATTTCACTTTTTATATATATATATATAGAAGGATCATCACATAATATGGTATAGAATCAAGAAGATTTTAAATCCATTCTTTACTCCCAGGAAACAAAAAATCTATTTAAAAGTTTTTCAAGTAAAATTAGTCATATTTATTTCTTCAAGATTAGTAATGGAAGTAAAAAAAAAAAAAAAGAACATAAACTCCAGGATCTCTTAATATATATATATATATAATTTGTTGATCAAACTTTTTTCTTTTTAAATTGATCATTTCGATACCCTTCTGATTTGATAAGAAAAAGCAAAATTAAGAAAGGGCCCCATATTATTGAGATCTGGATGGATCCTGAAACACCGCATGGACTAGTCAAGTCAGGTACTCCTTATGCTTAGAAAATTACTATATCAGGATCTTTCCAGAAATGAGATGTTCCTTCAAACCCGACCCTCAATCATTACAGGATTGCGCAACGTGTTATGTCTTGCCGGCATGAGTTTTAATTGCTGTTTCTTTTGGCGGTTTTGTTTCGATACCTTTAAATTATTTTAATGTAATAATATAAAAAATATTTTAAAAATAAAAGTAATAATATTATTTTTAATAGAGCTGAGTATTTTTGGTTTGATTCAATTTTAAATTAAAATAAAAAATTAAATTAATTTTTTTATTTTTTGAATTAAATTGAATTGAAAATCTATTCAAACTGATTAATTTCAATTCAGTTTAATTGTTTTCCTTTCAAATTAGTTTAAATTAAAATTATCCCAACTTATTCACCGTCTCAAAAAAATTTCTATTTTAAATAAGACAATTAAAAATCTTTCTTGTTTGGGTATTTTGATACTTTGTGACCCAACCACCGACAATTAAAACAAAAGCATCCAAATCCAAAGTTTTTGTTACACACAAAAAAAAAATGATATCATATTTGTTAGATAAAACTTATATGAACAAATATGTACAAACTCTCAACTAAACAAGTCATCAAAATATAAGAAACACAATAGAAAAAAAAAAGTAATAAAAGGAAAAAAAATCCACACTTGATACTTGCCCACATCATGCATGCACCCTATAAAGCCTATAATTTTACGTTTACAGAGAGTAAAGAGGGGAGAACGATCAAAGCAAATGAGAGTAAAGAAAATCAAAATAAAAACTAGAGGGTAAAAGAAAAAAAAAAAATCAAAACAAGAACTAGAATAGGAGTACAAGAAGAGATATGCAAAGAACGGAGTAATGTGAGAGTAAAAGGAGGGAGAGATATACAGAAAATGGGAGCGGCTAATGACTGAATGTGATTTTAGAGTTAAAAGATATTATATTTATGGTTGTTTTTTTGAAGTGCCGGCTGGTTAAACCGGTTTAGTTCGTTTTGGTCCGATCAATTTCAAATTTTAAAAACCAAAATTGAACAGAATTGGAATTTCTCTATGACTTTTTAATCGGTTAATTTGTTTTTTCAGTTGTATTTTTCTGATTTTTTCGGTTTAATTGATTTATTAATTTTTTTTCTCACTCTTAATTTTTAATATGTATTTTGGATATTTGAGAGTATAGTAGTGGTTGTTTTTTAAAATAATTTTTGACATCAACTTATCAAAATGATCTAAAAAATTAAAAAATTTAAATTTTTTAAAATAATTTTAAAATGTCAAAACAAACAATTTCTAAGAATTTTTTTTTTAAAATCCATCCATAAAAGAAAAGGAAAGCAACAATCCCGAATAAAAATAAAATAAAACAAGAACAATTAATAGAAAATGACCATGACTTCCGTTGATGATATGAACTCAGAATTCTCTTACGTAATGATTTTCCTTTTTAAGAAAATCCTGTCTTGCATCTCGAAAGGTCAAAGGAGGCAGGAAGAGAGATGAAGAGGGGCAATGGTCAAGATGATGGCAGCCGGTGCTGCAGTGCAGTTTCTGATGACCAGCAGTTCAAGCCCTCACGGAAGAATTGGGATAATTATAGTTATTTAATTTGATTTCTTGAATTATTAAAATAATGGTTTTTCGCAGCGGAAGAAAAACCATAGGGAAATGCAATGCAGCCATCGCAGCAGATGACACGACGTTTCAAGATCTTGTAAAGATTCCTACCATATCACTTGAATTTCTTAATTTATATAAGAAGAAGATCGTGCATTCCTTCTGCCTTCAGCGACAAGTTAATTAACAAATGAAACTCTTGACCTGAATATATATATATATATATATATATATATATATATAGTATTCCAAAAGTTTGAAGGCTTGACGGTAGAAAGAATTAACTTGGCTAAAGTGGAGCAAGTTTGAAACCGATGATCTCACGCCCCCAGCAAAATTCCTGGATGACTTTCCAGGGAACTGCTAGCTGTGGAATTATATGAGATAGATTTCGACAAAATAAGAGGTTGATTGGAGAATAATTACACTGCTTTTTTTTTTTTTTAATTTGAGAAAACTCCACCAATTAAAAATGTATTTTATAAATTCATATGAACAAGTAAAATCTTAGCTGTTTCGTGCTAATACAAAAAATACATATCTTCACTCAATCTCAAAACTTGTTATATAAATCTAAAATTATTTACCATCACATCAGGCCCTGAGAATTTATACTGCTATTTTCTTTTCTTCAGAGCACGCCAAGACATTATAGCCAAGTGGATCAAAACCATAGCCCTTAATTTCAAGATGGTGTGTTTTGCAGTTTCATGACTAAAATGAAGCCACCAATAAATCATCATCGTCCATGTCAATTTCAGAGGGTCCTCCCCCTGGTTTCTTGCTTGCTTGATAAACCACGAGTGGCCAGAATCTTTTCTCTCCTATATATAAAGATGGGACAGAATATTTGAATGATAGGAACATGACTCGCAGCCCATCTATGACTTTTGATCTCCTTAATTAAAATTAATTTCCAACGCCGTAGCAATCTCGTAGTTTCGTTAAAAACTATAGTCATTGGCCTGCTCTCTTTAGTTTTTTCCACACCGATTCCCACCAAAAAGGTCAACTGTTTATATTCTGACTCCACACATAAAGAACTACAAGCAAGGACTGTGTTTGTTTTTTCTGTCTACCTGTATTTTTTTAAAAAAATAATTGATTTTTTTAATTAAAGATTTTTAATATTTTTGATGCTATTATCAAAAAAAATTTAAAAAATAAAAAAAATTATTTTAATATATTTATAAGTAAAAAATATTTTAAAAAATAATTTTTATCGTAATTTCAAGTAATATCTTTTAGTATTATTATGTTTTCAAAAAAAAATATTTTTAAAAATATTTATATCGTAATCTTAAATACTGTTTATTGGTATTGCATTAGGGTTCCTTTTCTGAAAATCCAACCACACTCTACAAGCAACAAATCTGTAGCGTATAGCTTTCTTTCGCTGCCAGTATTCATTGGTCAGAACTTGCACTACATTTTAAAAGAAGACAAACAGGTTTGGAAAAAGAGGAGATAGCAGCCCGCCATTAATTGGAAGTGCTGAGTTCGTTGACTTAAGCTGTGGAGGCAGTCATGTGGAGGGCAACCAAGGAGGCATAGAAACCATCTTTGATATTGATCAAAGTATCATGCTTGCCTTTCTCTACAATAACTCCATTTTTAACCACTGCAATAACATCTGCATTCTTGATTGTGGATAACCGATGGGCTACAACGACCGTAGTCCTGTTCACCACGACTCGGTCTAGTGCATCTTGAACAGCTCTCTCAGATTCAGCATCCAGGGCACTGGTAGCCTCGTCCAGTAGAAGCACTCTGGGACCTTTGACTATAGCGCGAGCAATGGCTACCCTTTGTTTCTGCCCCCCTGACAATTGGACACCTCGCTCTCCTACTATTGTATCATAACCCTGCACTTTGCGTTATGATATTAGCATCTTGGCATCCAGTAGCAACATTAAGAGAGTGCATGCCCGAGTTTTTATTTCTAACTATTTCTGCAAAAGCCTGCTAGATAGAAAATCTACCATAGCTGCTTGCTTTAACAAATGTAGCTGTGTACTTAATATCAGGAGATGATGACTGCTCCATAATTCTCTAATTACCTGCTGAAGACTACTGATGAAATTGTGTGCATTGGCTAGCTCTGATGCAGCTAAAATCTCTGTCTCCGTCGCTTTCCCTTGTTTTCCATATGCAATGTTGGCACGGATTGTATCATTAAATAGGACTGGTTCTTGGCTCACAAGTCCCATCTGCTGCCTCAGCCACTTGAGTTGGAGACTTCGAATGTCAACTCCATCTAGAGTTATATGACCTGAATGAGGATCATAAAATCTTTGCAACAACGATATCACAGTTGATTTCCCACTTCCACTCTCTCCAACCAGGGCTACAGTCTAAGATAACAGATTCAAACCAAAACAATTAAGAAATTGACATTTCAAACGAAATGACAGCACTGGTTCCAGGATTCCATTTTTCTTAAGACAATATGCCTGGTACAATTAAGCAGATGGGTTTTAAAGCATGAGAAATTACCTTGCCAGAATGAATCACCAAGCTGAGGTCTCGGAAAATCTGAATATCTGGCCTAGTTGGATACTTGAAGCTTATGTGATGAAGTTCAATCTCTCCTCTCACACTGTCTAATTTCGTACCTGACTCGTCATTTGGATCCATCTTTGACTTACGGTCTATAATAGAGAATATGGATGCAGCTGCAGTCTTGGCACTGGAGGAATCAGGACCGAAGGAACTTGTTTGAGAAATTCCAATAGCTGCCATGGTCAAAGCAAAGAAAACCTGCCAGAAGACACATGGATAAGTATCATTAAAACGTTAGTAGTCTCCATGAAAATAATCAGGAAGATATGCCCACCCGAAAAACTTCTGTAAATGTTGTTTTCCCATGCTGGACAAGTTGAGCTCCCGCATAGAAACTGGTTGCATAGACAGAAAACAGTAAGAAGAAAGAAACTCCAAATCCTGTTCCACAGATCAGCCCTTGCTTTATTCCTGTCTCCATAGGGCCTTCACATTTCTTTTTGTATAATTGCATCACCTTCTCTTCAGCACAGAAAGAGGCAACAGTTCTTATGCTGCCTACAGCATCATTTGCAACTTGACTTGCTTCCTCATACATCATCTGCAGCCATTTCGATTAGTGATTCGACGATTAATTTCAAATGGCAAACTTGACAAATAGTAATTTCTGAGAGAAGGCTGGGAACATGAATAAAACTTCCTTTTCTTGTCAAAATTCGAATTCTTTAGCTTATTACTGCAATCAAATACAAGGTCACGAGTTAAAAACAATACCTTTGCATCTGCACTAAATCCTTTCATGAACTTTATTTGAATAATTCCATTGAGTCCTACTAGAGGAATGAGTACAAGGATAATCAAGGCCAATTGCCAACATGCAGTGAAGGCAATGACTAAACCTGCTGTTGCTGATGCGATGTTTTGAACCGTCTGAGCTAGAGAGTCTCCAACCAGAGCACGCACTGTTGCTGCATCTGCTGAAAGTCTAGCACCAATTACCCCACTTGAATGCTCAGGCTCATCGAACCAGCCGACCTCCATGTGAACTACCTTCTCAAAACAAATAGATCGAATCCTTTGGATTAATTTGCATCCAGCCACAGAAAATAAGTAAGTTTGTGTTGGAAACACCAAAAATGATGCCAGGCCAAGCGTCATAAACATCAGTGCCCAGAGCTTGGAATCCTTTCTCAATTCATGCGGTGGTTCAAAAAATGTTTTAATCACATTGGAAAGTAGGACGCCAAAAATTGGAAATATGACACCATTAAGAATTGCAGCGATAGCTCCAGCTATAAGTACCGGGATCTCTGGCTTGTTCAGATAAGCAAGGCGGCGGATTGGGCCATCTGGAGTTTTTGTTTTATGTGAAGAAGCTTCTACTTCTCCCGGGGCGTTATCAGTGTCAGGGACACTGAGTCCAGCAGTATGTAAACCTAATGAGACTGAGAATGGGCTTATATTTCCTGCTCCAGAAGATCCCCTGCTTAAAGACCGTTCCAGTGAAATTCTTGGACTCGACTGTCTAAAGGATTCCATAGTAATATCTGACTTGTGGTCTTCCGTTTCATGCTCTGACTCTTTATTTACTTCTTGTAAACGTATAAGCTGCGAGTAAGCTCCTTCAGGATCCTTGAGTAGTTCTGAATGCGAGCCTGATCAATTAACGGAAGTGTTTTAAATTGTGTTGTCTCCTTATTTTTTTTGCATCAAGAATCAAGATGTCCGAACAAATATCCCTCAGTAGCCAGGAGAAATAACTAGTTTGGAATTTAATCTGGAGGCTGTTCTAAGTTTGTACGATATAGAACTGACTTGTCTGCCGAAAGTTAGAGTATGGTATGCTGGTACAACAAATTAAGCACATACATCTGCTACTGCATGTTTATTGAAACTAGGTGAATGAGTCGGATTATTCTCTGTATACAGCATCTATAAATATCCATAACGTCAAAGGAAATACACAAAACATTTTAGAATGGATAAAGAATAGAAGAAGTTAGACAAGCATTTCTGACATTGCTCTATATGTAGATAGTTATGAGATACCTTTTTCCACTATCTTGCCATGGTGAATAACTGAAATCAAATCAACATTTCTCACAGTGCTCAAACGATGGGCAACAATGAGAGTTGTCCGATTGACCATAATCCTATCCAGTGCCTCCTGCACTATCCTTTCTGATTCTGCATCAAGTGCACTTGTAGCTTCATCTAAAAGCAAAATTCGTGGATCTTTCAGAATTGCTCTTGCTATTGCAATTCTCTGTTTCTGCCCACCTGACATCTGAATTCCATGCTCACCAACCATGGTGTCTAGTCCCTGGATAGCGAAATTCAACAGTCCAAATTAAATTAAAGAAGGAAAACCAGGAGATCCAGTCCCCAAACCAAAAAAAATAAAAATGAAAACAACATAAATTGGCATAGAGGGTATAATAACTAACAGAGGGAACCACTTATAACCTGAGGTAGTTTATCTATGAATTTAGCAGCATTGGCAAGTTCAGCTACTGCTCTTATCTCTTCAGTAGTTGCACCATCTTTTCCATATGCAATGTTATCCCTTATGCTGGACGTAAACAACACAGGTTCTTGGCTGACAAGACCAATTTTCTCTCGGATCCACTTAAGTTGAAATTCTTTGAGGTTAATACCATCTATGAGCACTTCACCAGCTTGTGGATCATAAAATCTCTCTATCAGACTGATGACTGTTGACTTTCCACTTCCACTTTGTCCAACCAAAGCTGCAGTCATGCCACTTGGGACGAGAAGAGAAAGACCAGAAAATATTTGATCATCGGGTCTGGCTGGATAACTGAAATATACATCCCTCAATTCTATATCCCCGTTGATGTCCTTCAATATCTTTCCCCTCATTTCGTAAGCGTCTATCTTAGGCTCCCTACTGATAGTCTGAAACATTTTAGAAGCTGCAGCTTGACCAGCCACAAATGCACTCATGCAGGGAGATGCCTGACCTAGTGACCTGATACATTCGTATGGTCAATCATAAAGAAAATACGATGAACTGTTAAGAAAAATATTGAATGCTTGAACATCAATTTATGTTTTGGTTTCTGCAGCCGTCGTTGTGCATGTGAGTGTGTGTATGTTGGTTTCATAAAGGAACTCACGTGGATCCGATCAACAGAGCAACAATCACATTAATCACTGTGCCCCCAGTGTATCCTTTTTCCAATATCAGCTTCCCACCAAACCATACTGCCAAAGAATAGCTGCTGAAGATTACTAACATAACAATGCCAATACCTAATCCAGCCGCTAAGCCTTCTTGAACCCCGGATTTGTAAGCAGTAATGAGAAACTTCTGGTAATTGCTTATGGCTTGCTCTTCACAAGTAAATGACGCGACCTGGATTAAAGTTAAACAATCAGCACTCTTTAATGGTTTTTCTTACCTTTTTGGTAAGAAAAGTCCAGTTCTACGTATGTAAACATACAGTTCTGATCGAGCCAAGTGTCTGTTCAACGACAATTGCTGCTTTTGCATAAGCAGTTTGTCCACTAGATGCTGTCCTAGTTATCATTATTGACATGGCCGCACCAGCTATCACAATCAGGGGAATGGAGGATAACATGACAAGAGTAAGAAGCCATCCTTGGACAAATGCTATTGCAAAGCCTCCAAAGAATGTTGATAGCAGCTGTATAAATTTCCCAACCTGAATGAAATGACAAGGCCTATTTAACCACAAATACATGCCAATATGTATAAAATCCACCGTAGTTTTTCCCTCTGGTTAGAGTACAAGAACAGTTTAGTACCTTTTCACCCATGGCATCTTGTATGAGAACAGTGTCACCAGACATTCTACCAACAACCTCTCCTGTGTTTGTTTCCTTGTCAAAAAAAGCTACATCTTGTCTTAGTATAGTTTTCAAATATGCACCTCTTATCCGAGCAGCCTGCCTCTCTCCCGTGACCATCCAGCAAGCCACCTCTGACAAACAACAGAAAAGCTTTAATAAATCCCAAATTCCTGAAAAATAAGACACTTTCTGTACGTTAGCTTTATTGGATATGTACTCACGCAGAAATGATCCCACACCAGACCCCACTGCCAAGTAGACAAATTTGAGAGATACCTGAAATGTTCGCAGTTAACAAATTAGCAACATCATTATGCGAAGAAAAATAATTACAGAACCAAAAATCTAGTGCTTCTGATCAGAAACATACAGGACTAACTTGTGAGTAAGGCATCTTAGCTGATAGAAACATTAATGCTAATTATACTTACCTTGGACACTAAATGCACCACATTTTCATTATGCTGATTTTGTCCAAAAGAATTAATCACGTCTCCCAATAGAATTGACATAAGGGGCAAAGATATTCCATTTCCAACAGCACCAATCGAGCCAATGATCATCAAAACAGTATCTGTGGAATCAGCAAACGAAAAGAGCTTGGGGAATGGCACAGTTTTAGTTTTCTCATCTTCTTTGCTCCTCTCTTGCTTTTCTAGTTCCTTACTCGGGCCTGAACTTTTCTCCTTCCCTTCCTGTCTTTTCGATGTGGTGGCATCGTCCATACTTCCACCATTTCTGCCGTTCTCTAGGGCCATAACACCAAACTAAAGGTATTACTGGATCTCAATTTACTCTCGGAATATATATAACGAAGTTTGCAGCTGCAGAGCACTAGCAAATCTGCAACTTCAAATTGCAGGCCTTCTAAATTTTCACTGAAACAAATATAATACACCTCTAGGAGAAATAAATTCCCGCAGTCCAAATTCTTCAAAGACAAAATAGCATGCACGGTACTAATTAACATTAAAAAAAAAAGAAGGCGAAAATAACAAATGAAAGATAAAAAACAAGATGGTCAAAAACCTTATTAAAAGAAGAATCAGCAGAAAGTTACCGAACAACTGGATCGAAAGTCATTATTTCAGATTTAGTTTTGGTGGTTGCTCACCCTGTTTCAGCTTTTAATAATCCCCACCACTCCTATGCAGTGAGCCTTTCTTGTTCTTCTAGTGCAAGTTTTGTTAAAATTAATATGGCAGTCACTTTCTACTGAACATCAAGTCATCTTAGATTCAACATCGATTACTTGCAAGTTAATGGGCAGCTGATCTACGTGAGTGTATCTACTATTGTTCTATACAGTAATTAATTTCTATGCTCGTGCAGAGGGAATGAATATTATTAATTTAGCTAGGCCTGCGATTTGATTATTGGAGGGCCAACCTTGAATCTAGCATGCCTACAGTGTCAAGGTATCATCAAACGGTGACGAGACTAAACCATAGGACATGGGTCACAACCTGTCATCCATTACTTTGATCTCCCAAACAGATCCATATCCAGCTTCGCATGAATCTGAGGATTTCATGAAAACTTTAGTCATTGCCTCTAATGTTGCCTTCTCTTTAATTTCTAATTCCCAAAAGAAGCTAATTATCTGTGTTGATTGATAATCAATTACTACAACAGCGGAACCTTTTCTGTTGTTCACGGTAGTATACCAGAAATTGCTGTGTTATTCCGTAAAAGAAACAAGAAAACTTGATGTTTACAAAATTTCGCCAGTGTTTGAAACAAGAAGATGACAGCCCTTCCTAAAAAATGGGTGCTAGAAAAATTGCAGGGGTGAATCAAGAAGTTGAGGCACTCAAGTGAAGAGCTACTAAGGAGGCATAAAAGCCATCTTTGATATGGATCAAAGTCTCATGCTTTCCTTTCTCTACAATAACTCCATTTTTCACCACGGCAATAACATCTGCGTTCTTGATTGTAGATAACCGATGGGCGACAACCACTGTAGTCCTACTCACCATTACTCTGTCCAGTGCATCTTGAACCACTCTTTCAGATTCAGCATCTAGCGCACTGGTAGCCTCATCCAATAGAAGTATTTTGGGACTTTTGACCATAGCGCGAGCAATAGCCACCCTTTGTTTCTGCCCCCCCGACAACTGGGTTCCTCGCTCCCCAACAACAGTATCGTACCCCTGCATTTTGCATGGTCGTAAGTCAACAAAATTACACAAGCATCTTAGCAAAATATTCAATCTGATAACAACCTAAAGATAGCGCGTGAATTATCTTTGATTCTTATCAGTCAAAGGCCAACTGGAAGTTATATCACAGCTGCTTGCTTGAGCAAATCAAGTTACTACTTGTACTTGCAGAAGATGATATCAATGGAAAAAATTACTGATATAATGTTAATTCTAACCTGTTGTAAACCACTAATGAACTTGTGTGCATTGGCCAGCTCCGATGCAGCTAGTATTTCTACTTCCGTTGCATTCCCTTCCTTTCCATACGCAATGTTGGCACGGATTGTTTCATTAAAGAGAACAGGTTCTTGGCTCACAAGCCCCATCTGCTGCCTCAACCACTTAAGTTGGAGACTCTGAATGTCAATTCCATCAAGAGTTATATGCCCTGAATCGGGATCATAAAATCTTTGCAATAATGAGATCACCGTTGATTTCCCACTTCCACTTTCTCCAACCAGGGCAACAGTCTACAAGAAGGCATTTTAAATGATATGAGTTTCCTCCTTTCAGAATTCCATTATTCTTAAAACAACAAAGGATTTGAATTGAAGCATGAATAATTGACCTTGCCAGAATGAATAGCCAAGCTCAGGTCTCGGAAAATTTCAATGTCCGGCCTGCTTGGATACTTGAAGCTTATATGACGAAGTTCAATTTCTCCTTTCACGTTGTCTAATGTCCTTCCCGACTCATCACTTGGATCAATCTTCGACTTTCGGTCTATAATAGCAAATATGGAAGCAGCTGCTCCCTTGGCTTTTGAGGAATCAGGAGCAAAGGAGCTTGATTGAGAAATTCCAATTGCTGCCATGGTTAAAGCAAAGAAAACCTACGAGTAGACACATAATTTAGTGTTATTAAGAAAACTCTAATGTCTATAAAGATCTCATCGAAAAATCGAAAAATTTATACACAAGGAAGATATACCCACTCGAAAAACTTCCGTGAAAGTTGTTTTCCCGTGCCGGACAAGTTGAGCTCCTACATAGAAAGTGGTTGCGTAGACAGAAAACAGTAAAAAGAAAGAAACTCCAAATCCTGTTCCACTGATCATCCCTTGCCTTATTCCAGTCCTCATAGGGCCTTCACATTTCCTTCTGTATAATTGCATCACCTTCTCTTCAGCACAGAAAGAGGCAACAGTTCTTATGCTGCCAACAGCGTCATTTGCAACTTGACTTGCTTCCTCGTACATTTTCTACAACCATTGAGAGCAGCGAATGTGATTGTTATTTTTTTTTTGGGCACATTTGATTATTAATTTAAAATAGAAAAGGCAGCAAATGGTGATTTCTGAGAAAGGCTCCATGGAACATGAGTTAAACTTCTTTTACATGTCAAAACTAGTATTTTTTTGCTCGCTGCTGTAATAAAATACTAGGTCAGGAATCAAAGAGCATACCTTTGCATCCGCACTGAATCCTTTCATGAACTTTATTTGTACAAATCCATTGAGTCCTATTAAAGGAAGGAGTACAAGTATTACGAATGCCAATTGCCAACATGCAGTAAAGGCAATGACCAAACCCGCAGCAGCTGATGCGATGTTCTGAACCAACTGGGAAAGAGAATCTCCGACCAGAGCACGCACTGTTGCTGCATCCGCTGACAGCCTAGCACCAATGGCTCCGCTTGAGTGCTCAGGGTCGTCGAACCAACCGACCTCCATGTGAACCACCTTCTCAAAACACATAGATCGGATCCTTTGGATTAATTTGCAACCGGCCACCGAAAATAAGTATGTACATCTGACTTCTTGGGGTCTTCTGTTTCTTGTTTGGACTCTTTGTTAACTTCTTGTAAGCGTATAAGCTGAGAATAAGCTCCTACAGGATCCTTGAGGAGTTCCGAATGTGAACCTGATCAATCAATGAAATGGATATTTCACAAAATGTATGAAAATCCAGAAAGTTCCCTTAACCCCTCTTATCCAGAAGACTAAAACAAGTTCTGGAATTAATCAGAAAATTACCCTAACTATGATTGTAGATGATGGCAGAAATGATTTGGCTGCAGAAAATGAGTGCGTGAATCATGATGGTGCAGCATAGAATATATATCTGCTATATGCCTATGTGAAAGTAGGTAAACAAGTAGGAGGTTTCATAAAATATCAAATAAAATGTATGATGTGTATAAAAATCCTTAAAATGACTGAAAATATCAAATATTTTGGATCCTGGATCTATAGAGAATATGTGGCAGTGCAGAGATCAGAAAGTTTACAGCGAAGGAATTTCTCAGCAGGTTCGCGAGATATTTTGATGTTTCTTTATATGATAATCATGCATGCTCAATTATATACCTTTCTCAACTATCTTCCCACGGTAAATAACTGCAATGATATCAGCATTTATCACAGTGCTCAAACGGTGGGCAACTATTACAGTTGTTCGAGTGACCATAATCCGGTCTAATGCCTCCTGTACTATCCTTTCCGATTCTGCATCAAGTGCGCTTGTAGCTTCATCCAAAAGTAAAACACGTGGATCTTTCAGAATGGCTCTTGCTATGGCAATTCTCTGCTTCTGTCCCCCAGACAGCTGAGTTCCATGTTCACCAACCATGGTGTCTATTCCCTGGATACAAAAGTTGAAACCAAATTAGATAAAAAACTGAGGCGATCTGAACCACCTCCTCTCCAAAAGATTAAAAAAAAAAATGACAGCACTAGAAATTTGTGAAGAGGGAACCAGTTTAAAACCTGAGGTAGTTTATCGATGAATTTAGCAGCATTGGCAACTTCAGCTGCAGCTCTTATCTCGTCAGTTGTTGCACCATCTTTTCCATAAGCAATGTTATCCTTGATGCTGGATGCAAACAACACAGGTTCTTGGCTGACAAGACCAATTTTCTCCCGAATCCACTTGAGCTGAAACTCTTTGAGGTTAGTGCCATCTATGAGAACTTCACCAGCTTGTGGATCATAAAATCTCTCTATCAGACTGATCACCGTTGACTTTCCGCTTCCACTTTGTCCAACCAATGCGGTAGTTGTTCCGCTAGGGATGAAAAGAGAGAATCCAGAAAATATCTGCTCATCTGGTCTGGCTGGATAAGTGAAATACACATCCCTCAACTCTACATCTCCACTGATGTCATCCAATATCTTTCCCCTTGTATCCGAAGAATCTATCTCTGGCTTTCTATTTATAGTCTCAAACATCTTGTAAGCTGCAGCTTGACCAGCTGCAAACGCACTCATGCAGGGAGATGCTTGCCCTAGGGACCTGAACCATTCATATGATTAAACCATAAAATTAAACAAACAAAGAATTTTTTAAAGTGGATATTGCTTCATAATGGAACTCACATAGAGCCGGTTAAAACAGCAACAATCACATTAAGCACATCACCCCCAGTGTATCCTTTTTCCAAAATCATCTTTCCACCAAACCATATTGCCAAAGCATAGCTGCAGAAAATAAATAGCATAACGATGCCAAGACCTAATCCAGCAGTAAAGCCTTCTTGAACACCAGAGTTATAAGCAGTGACAAGAAACTTCTTGTAATTACTTATGGCTTGCTTCTCCCCGGTAAATGATGCAACCTGGATACAAGTTAAACAATTAACATTCTAAAATGAATTTTTATCCAGGCACATCCTGTTCTTTATATGTACACGTACTGTTCTAATTGAACCAATAGCCTGTTCTACTACAGTCGCTGCTTTAGCGTAAGCAGTTTGGCCACGAGATGCCATCCTAGATATCATGATGGACAGTCCTGCACCAGCTATCACAAGCAGGGGAATGGAGGATAACATGACAAGAGTAAGTAGCCACCCTTTAACAAATGCAACGATGAAGCCTCCAATGAATGTTGATACCAACTGTATAAATTTCCCAACCTGCACGAACATTACGGGTTATTTAGCCAGAAAAAAATATTGGCAATATGGATAAAATTCACTGTGTTTTTTTCTATTTGATAAGAACAGTGTTGTACCTTTTCACCCATAGCATCTTGTATCAGAACAGTGTCACCAGACATTCTACCAACAACCTCTCCAGTGTTTGTTTCCTTGTCAAAAAAGGCAACGTCTTGCTTCAGTATGGTTTTCAAATATGTACCCCTTATCCGAGCAGCTTGTCTCTCTCCCGTGACCATCCAGCAAGCCACCTCTGACAAACAACAAGAACGGGTTTATAAATCCACAATGCTTGATGCATTAAACAAGTCCTTTGTAACTGTAAGGTAGTATTGTTGAGTTAATAATGTACTTACGAAGAAATGCTGCTACAGCAGAACCAATTCCCAAGTAGACAAAATTGAGAGCCACCTAAGAATAGTTCGTAGCATATCTATATCAGAAACTGAGTTCCAAAAATTGAATTGTACATCTTCCAGAGCAGAAAGAAAGGTGCATAACGTTACTTATCCTTGAAAGCATTTCTTTCGATTGAAACAGGCATATATGTTGATTTTTTTTACCTTAGTAACTGAATCCACAACATCTTTGTTATTCTGGTTTTTTCCAAAAGAATTAACCAGATCACCAAACAGTATTGACATAATCGGAAAGGATGCTCCATTTCCAACAGCACCAATCGTCCCAAGGATCATCAACAAAATATCTGTAGAATCCGCAAATGAAAAGAGCTTGGGAAAGGGAACGGTTTTAGTTTCCTCATCTCCTTTACTCTTCACTGGCTCTTGTTGGTCCCCCCTTCCACCAGAACTCTTCTCCTCCACCTCCAGGCTTTTTGATGTGCTCGCCTCATCCACACTCTTATCACCACTTCTGCCGTTCTCGCCAGCCATCGCTCGAACCTCAAGATATTAATCTAATCCTCCATTTGCTCTCAGAATATGCAGAGACTTGTATTGCGACCGCACTAGAGCACAAAAAAATCAGCAACTTTTAATGATATATATATATATATATATTAAACAGAAAACAAGATTCCAGTCCATTTTTAATTAAGGATAAAACTCGCACACAGAGCGAGGGAGGGAGGGAATTTACTTGCAGAAGAAGAAACGGAATATGGGAGTAGTTGAACTTGAAATAAGAAAGAGATATGAAGTAGTATGATGTAATGCTAGTTATTTGGCTGCTCTATGAGCTGTTGGATTTGGGTTACCATTTATTAATTTAAGGGCTTATATAACAGGGAGCAGAACTGTATTCAAGCGCACCCATTATTTGAATTGTATTCCTGTTACCTCGTCACCTTGTCCAAATCCTTAATGTTGTTTATTCAGAGACACCGAATTCTATACGGCATCGGCGAGCAACGAATTTATAATTCTGTGGGAATGTAGTGTGATATTTTGTAAATTATTTTTTATTTAAAAATATATTAAAATAATATTTTTTATTTTTTTTAAATTTATTTTTAACATTAACCCATTAAAACTAAAATTACTGAATAAAAATTAATTTTATTATTTTTTTAAATTTTAATAAAAAACATGTTCATCTTCAATACTAAATAAACACTAATTTTTTTGATATTGCAGTTATAAACTAAGATATTAATTAGTTGTTGTAAATTCTGAATTTTAAAAGAAATTTATTTTATTAAAAACAAATTTATGATATTATTTTGTTTTTATGCTAATTACTCAGTTACTTGATTCTTTTTATTTATTTTTCATAATTTTTTACATGAAAAGGTGGGCTGTTTTGTTAAATTATATAACTTATTTAAATAGGAGTTTCAAAGACTAAACATAAAAAATAAAAAAATAAAATAAACCTTCTTAGCTTCCTGTATTAGAACCAATTTATTTGGTGGTGTAAATTTCATAGTTTTTAAACCAGATCTGGTATAATAAATGGGTCATGGGTTAAATGGATTGACTCGGGCCAGCCCGGTTCAACCCAAAATAAAAGAAAAACTATGCTTTTTGAGAGGTTTCTCTCTTTCCATATTTTCCACTCTCCGTTTGCAACGTTTGTGCTGTTCATTGGCGTCAATCTACACATCTGAGCAAAGTAACATAAAAAAAACCTTGTTTTTTGAACCTTCGATCCCTCTCTTTCTTCTCCAAATTCTCACTTTGTCGCTACCCTAGTTTGGGATGACAGAATAGAGAGAGAAGAGAGCTGGAGAAAGAAAGGTGTTGTCTTTCTGATCTGAAAAAATTGAGCGGATCTAGGTAAGCTTGTTCTTATCTCTTTCTTTCTTCCCTTTTTTCTTTATCAATTTGACTGATTGTTTCCGGTCACTGTCACTTCTTGTTGTTGCTTAATAATGGCTTCACCTGGTAATCCAAATCAACAACGACAAGGAGGTTAGGGAATAGTACAGGGAGGAGGAGGTTCAAGTCCTCTTCTTCAAATCCTATGAATATGATGTAGCCCCATATCCAACAACAGTAGCAACAAGGTCCTTCTCTATCCCCCAATAGTAACACTACCACAAGCGGCTTTTTGATAGTAAAAGGCAAAAACAACGTCGTTTCACGTGCGTGTGTGTATATATCTAAAAAAACAGGTTGGGTTTCTGCCGGGTTTACCCGGATCGACTAGGTTCTAGGTCGACCTTCCAGGTCAAATCGGTTTCACCTGGTTAGCTCTCTCATGGGTTTTTATTTAGATCCGAACCAATTTCAAGTTCGGATGGGCCGGTTCCAAGTTAATCCACCAGGACAGTCTCAATTTCAAAACTACGTAGCTATTGTGTGGTATTGCATTTTAATTGAGAATTAGAAAAATTTTGAATTTTTTATTTAAAATTATTTTTTAAAATTATTTTAATATGTTAATATAATAAATAATTTTTAAAAAATAAAAAATTATTATTTTAATATATTTTTAAATAAAAAAATAAAAACTATCATTCTCTATGGCGTTGACCCAAAAAATAATAATTCAGTTCAACCATTTATTTAATTATTTAAATAGACGTATTTCAATTTAGAATTTTCTCAAACCAGAATCTTTAATTAAACACATGCCAAAGAAAGAGGCGAGCTTTTCACCTCTTTTCAAAAGGAGTTTGGATTTTTTCTACCCTTTATCTTGCGTGGTCATGAAGAAAAGGTTTCTTTTGGCAACTAGTTCATGCAATGAATTCCAAATATTCAACTACTCCTCTCAATGTTTATTTTTGCAGTGAAAAAATATTAATTTTTATTTTTTAAAATTAATTTTTGATTTTATTAAATTAGTTTGATGTATTAATATAAAAAATAAAAAATATTATTTTAATATATTTCTATTTAAAAAGCACCTTTTCACACTATCCAACACCATCTCAATAATATTTACATAATAATACACATCTCATGATATTGTAATATAAAATATTTTTTAATTAAAAATACATTAAATATTTTTTATTTTTAATATTAACAAATTAAAATAATTCTCTAGCATTGTGTTTTATGCTTTCTAGCTGACCGCAAGAATAGTGAGATGATCAATTTAAAATTAATAAAATTTTAGTGGATAAAATTAAAAAAAAAAGTAAAAAAAAATTACTGGAAAAGGACTAATTAAAATAAATGGAAGATAGAATTAAAAAAAATAAAAATCATCTTCTTTACTATTCATACGTTAGTGAGGGAGGCAGGGGGGAATCTAGTTTATTTAGTGTAGTAGTAAAATCAAAACCTTGAGTGCGAAAAAAGAAAAAAAGAAAAAAGAAAATGAGAAAAGAATGAAAATATATACCACATGAAAAACTTGCCTCATTTCTATAGTATTTTTCACTGTTCAGAAACACCATTTATTTTAGTATTTTTATTAATTTAGAAAAAATAAAATAAACTTGATAGAAATTATAATATCTTAGAATCATAGAAGAAAAACCCATTATAAGCTATTTTACCTTTTCTTTGTTGCGGATCATATTTGTTTTTCAACAAAAAATAATTATACAAGCTTTTCCAATGCTTTTTTTATAAAAAAAATATTAAATGTAAAAAAAAAAAACCGATACAAACATCTAATTAAAGAGAACCATCTTTACAAATAAATGAATAAAAAATTATTAATAATAATTAAAAAATAAAAAAAAATAAAAAACATATATAAATTAAAATATTTAATTTTATAACATCTAATATTTATATAATTTTGTTTGTTGAATTTATTTATTAAAATTAATTTTTTATTTAATAAAAAAATAATAGAAATAAATGCATACTTGGAATTGATTGCATTAAATAAAAATCAAAAAATATTATGTAAAAATGTAATAAAAAAATAATAGAAATAAATGCATATTTGGAATTGATTGCATTAAATAAAAAGCAAAAAATATTATGTAAAACTGTATATATTACAAATATTATCTAAAAATAAATATTTTTATTTTTAAAAATAAAATTTATTTATATAAAACATAAAAAAATTATGTATGACTCAGAATGATATCTTCAAAACTTAAATACATATCAAATATTTTAAGAACAATATCTATTAAAAAAAAAGTTAAAAATAAAATAAAAATAAAAATCATAGAGAAGGAACATTAATTGAAATGTAAATATTCAGTAACCTTAGAGAAATAATATTGCAATCATGTTACTAGCACCACGAAATAAACAACAAATTATTTTAAGATAAGAGTATTGATCCTCTTCTTCTTTTTTTATCTATTTTTTAAGTTTATTTCTGTCAGCAAGTAAGTTAATATTTTTTATGCATTGATTGTCTTGTAGAAACTAAATCATCCTATATGTAAAAAGAAACAACAATCTTTAAAGTCTTCCAACAATTTTAAAATAGTTATATATGAAATAAATAATTTGTAAGAAATAAACTGGTTATATGTTGACAAGATAAAAAGTTGAATTTTAGTAGGAAAAGTAAAGTAGATTTAACATGGCTATGTTAATTAAATTCCTCGTTGTCTATTCTTTGCGTGCTTGTTGCATTGATTCTTTGGGTAAAGAAATTGTGTTGCATAATAGTTTCTTTGTAGTTGTATTGATATGGGAAAAAAAATAGATTAAAAAAAAAATAGCTGCAAGGGAAAACTGAAAGAAATGTACTTGTTATGCTTCTGTTCATGTTATTATACATGTTTGTTCAAGTTTACGTTTGCACAAACCTGAGAGAAAAAAAGGAGCCTAAATTATGTGCACATATTTGTTATTTATATGCATATATTTACCTAGGTATAATTTATTTGTTTATCTGATGTGTGTGTTATGTTTTTTTTGTGTTTACAAGTCTAAGCCTGTTGATGAGAATTTGCCTCCATAAAAATGGGTTATAAGTTAACATCTTGTTTAACTTGTTATTTTTATAAATTATGACACTAATTATACTATAAATTATGCTAATAATTTATTTTCATTCATACTCCATCAATTATGCAAAGAAGTCATCTCCCACTTATTTTTGTCTAACAACTCATCTTTCACCAATTAGGTGGATTTAATTAAGTTGTTTTACATTCTTCCACTTGAAGACTTTGATGATTTAATCAAGTCTTTACAATTAATCATCTATGATTCTTCTATCCTTTCTATACTTGTCATTTTCATGCTGCTTACGTTCCTGCTAGGCCATAAGAGGATCTGCATCATATATACTTATCAGAGTTAACTGGTTTGGTCAGAGCATCTGTTGAATTTTTTTTTGTGTGGACCTTTTGAAAATCCACACTTTCATCTTCCACCACTTCACAAACAAAGTGAT